TTTGAGGGGAAGTGTTCATTGGCATAGTTTGGCAATAACTTGGTCTGAGCCACCAGCCGCCCACAGCGAATGCACTCAGGCACACCCCGTGGACACTCCCCCTCTGACGCAGAGATATGGACTGCAGAATATCCACAGGAAAAATCTGGGTGAATCTTCCAGGCACCCTTTCAAGGCGGCCTTATGTACCACAGGAACCACCCACATGTGGTCAGAAAGTGAAGCGATGGTTCCGAAAATACTTTTGGAAGGTAAGTGATTGGTCAATTGATTATTCATTCCCTTTCACTATCGTGGTCCAACTTCAGGTCAGTATTTGGACAATGAAGCTGAGGCTGAACTGCACACGTTACCGGAAAACCCAACATTGGAGGACCTTATCTTCATCAAGTACCGAAAATTCGTTGCCATGCTCATTCCCTTCGTGCTCATGCAGGTGAATAGTCACAAAAAATCAATACTTTCTCATCGATTCCATTCAATAAGTGTATTGAAGACCGTGGTGGATGGTCGCATCCGACACAACTTCTTCCGATGGTATCCAGAATACTACTGGCACATGCCCGTGACAATGATCCTTGGCTCCTTCGTTGGAGGTAAGCAATCGATTTATTGATTTTTTTAAGAAAATCAGATCTATGGATGACTTTTTTCAGGAATAACTTCAGAAGGAAGTGGTGCAGTAGCGTTCCCCGTGATGACTTTGGCACTACATATTTCCCCAGAGATAGCCAGGGACTTTTCACTGATGATTCAGTCATGCGGTTAGCGATCGATATATTGATTTTACCTTAAATTCGAGGGAATCATTCACACGAACCGATCAAGTATTGATCTTTCAGGTATGACATCGGCTCTGATATGTGTACTGTTCATGAAGGTGAAGATCGAAAACCGTGCTGTCATACTCGGCACACTTGGGGGGATTCCCGGCTTCATAATCGGCGTACATTTTGTGAGTTCGTCAAAAAATCGATGATTGATTAGTTGACACTCTTATGTCACGTTTTACAGATAGATCCGCTCTTCACTGGACCACAGAAGAAGATGATGTTCGTTGCAATTTGGACATCCTTCGCTATAGCTCTGGCAATCCTGAACTCTCAGAAAAAACGCACCACATTCAAGGATATCCCTGACTTTTGCTGGTGGAAAGCTGTAATACTCTTCTTTACAGGATTCGTTGGAGGTCAGTTAGAGGAGCAAATTCAATGAGTCTGGCAAGCAAGGGTTTCATTAGGGACTAAGTGGGCATAGGGATAGTTGATGTTGGATCTTTGTGCTACTTACACAGGACCCGATTTTCCAGTGAATGTTCTGTGCCACACCCTGTACAAGAGGACGTTATCTAAAGTGGGTGTAGGAATCGATATATCGATTTTCAGGAGTGTTCGACTCTTTCGCTGGTTCTGGAGTGGATATTTGCATCTTCTCCATCCTTACTCTATTGTTTCGAGTAACTGAAAAGACGGCCACACCCACTACTGTCGTACTTCAAAGTTTGTAATCATCAGATCACAGGTCGTGCGAGAAAAGGCCTCTAACAGCGACTAGGTCACATTTTCAACAGTTGGATTTCATTTGATGGGCTTGCGACTGCGAGAAGATTCATTGCTCCAAGCAAAAACTTTTCATGGCATGGATAACCAAAAGAGGATGTTTGAAATGGAATGAGATCGTCTCCTGGCGCACGATAAATCCCCCAAGACGGGTAGGATTAATATGCCTGGCAGGGCGGAATTCCGCGACCCTGAGAAGCGCGCTAGGGGGGGGGGGGGGGGGGGGGGGGGTGGGGGGGGGGGTGTAAGCATCCGACCCAAACGCCCTCCACGCACCGCCCGCCCACAAATGGACGACCGTTCCTGACGCTCTAAGTCGATTCATTTGCTAAGCAAATTATAAAGCGAAGGGATTGGTATGAAGCGGCCGTGATGCTGCATGGATATAATGAGCACTATGCAGCCGTACCTTCGGTAGCGGTTATTGGCATGATGGCTAGTGGATCTCCTTCCGAACTTGCTTCCTGAGTCGTGTAGAGAAGCCTTTTTTGCAAGTTTTTGTCCGCTTCACTCCGTTCTTTCGCCATTTCCCCACTAGAAGCGCCCTACTAGCGTTTTAGGCCAAGCATAAAATCATCGTCCCAACTGCCTTTAAGCCGGCCAAAATGACTGTGAGGATCGTGTAACTGTTTTGCTCGAAAGCCGTAACTACCGTACTTTTATACGTTTACCACTGGAAAGACATTGGAATCTGAAAAGATGTGAGAATGCTAGCCGGGGTTATGCCGAGATTATCGCGGGTTAATTTCAGCGAACGCGGCGAGGAATGTAGATGAGGTGTCTCTGTGCCATTCCGTTCCACCAGAGTGGAGTATCACGTGTAGAGAATCATTGCCACCATTTCAGGAGTGAACGCTGTTATCGGTTTCTTCTACCGTGCTGCCATGATGGGTGACATCTCAGAAATGGCATGGAGGTATTTTGCTCTTTCCGTGCCCGTCGCAGCCATCTTTGGACCACTGGGTAGCTTCCTTGGCTCACATCTCCACAGACAAGTAAGCGTAGTATGATTTTTTTGAAGAGAGCGGAATACTCAGAGCAATAGTAGTTTGGGGTGCAATGCGATAGCGCCACTATCCGCAGTTATGTTCTGCCTGTATTTTTCTCGTCTTGTCAATACTTTTCAAAGCCCCTCTGGATGGGTATATCAATCAGCTCCTGCTCATTTAGATGGCGCAGACAAGCAGATATGGTCAATCAGCTCCTGCTCATTTAGATGGCGCAGACAAGCAGATATGGTGGCATAGTTGCTCATCGCATGACACCCCCCCCCAACTGCCTTTGCCGTCTCACCATCAAGCATGCTTTTTTCCAGAAAGCCAGTACTACTATTTATAGGTAATCGCTGCATTTGTATACATACTGGAACTGGTTGCTCTGATCGGGCTTTCTTCTAACAAAACCTGCATGGCGGTTGATTGTTGTAGGAGGTGAGCTCAAAGTTATCATCGCCTATCATCCAATCAATACAATCGATATATCGATTTTCAGCTGGCATCATATTGGGCGGTATGGTGTTCTTCACGTTCATTGCAAAGGCTGGGCAAAGAATCATGAAGACCGTCGAAGAAAAACAATTGAAAGAACGGGAGGGGACGAAAAAGTTTAATCAAATCTACCACTGGCGAGATGCCGATAGCGCTGATTAATCAGTTGTCCCGTCGTGACGTCATGATGACGTCTGTTCTTTTTTATCCCAAATGTTGCCATGTATTGATCACTTACCATGAGATGTACATAATTCCACTTACCTACCTTTTTCATGATCTCTTAAATGAATTTTATCATTTTGATCATTGTAGAAATTATCAAGGAACTGTTGAATAATCAATCAATATCTCCGAGTGTGATAGTTGGTGAGAATACAGACGCTCCAGTACCTGGGTGCAGCATCGGGTGAGGACAGCGGCTTTAGATGACCCTTTTGAAGAGACCTTCGGTTATGACTTTTTGGAAAAATCTCATTCAAATTTGGGCAATGTACTATCGCTTACCATTACTACTTTGGATTTAAGACGCAGGGTCCAATCATCCTGGTATCTGCAAATGCTCCTTCAGCCTTGTCTACCATCCTTCCTAAGTCATCCATCCCCTGCCGCTCTGCCAAAACCAGAAATTTCTGGTTATTGCCAAATCAGCGGCAAGGGGCGAAGGCACGGAAAGAATCCGAATAGTAAGCTAAGTACAATTTGAGGGCGATATCATCTGTGGGGAGGGGGGGGTACAAATATGGTTTCACTTATCGCGGCTCGAAAAATTCCTGCCGAGGAAAGTAACGACAGCTCTCCGCACCTCAGCAACCAAAGAATGACTGCCTGATGGGACATTCCAACGATGCTGCACCCTTAACTTTTCTATTTATCATCGACTATTCTCTTCTGTGGACTGGGGAAGGACCATGCATTCGAGTCCCACGCTGACATGGTTGAAAGGTATACCTTTGGCAGAAGCAGACCCGCAGTCGATGAGATCCACTGAATCAGAAACCTTCATGATTTCACTAACTCTCGTTTTTGTTCAACATTGAGTCATCCTTACCCCAAAAACCCCCTCCAGCGGCTAAATACATGCGAGCCCGTGGTGCGTTTCGTGTCCCAGGGACCTGCACAAAATGAAACGGGAAGAGAATTGCTCGAGAAATAATGGATCCTCCCAAGGTCTTCACTCGCAGCGGTGAATACACTATGCATCGTCTCGGGGTTTAGAGGGGCGTGGCTGCGTACTCAATTCGAACATAGTGCTAGCAGCCTTTTCCCTGGAAATCTCCATGAAATAACTGTCATCCTTTCTCATGCTGGACAAAGACTTGATAAAAATTGTCCGAGAACGGCAATATCTCGAAAAAGAGCAGCCATCTGCATCAGATGAAACGCGCAGCCACGCCCCCTCATCTCCGAGATATGGAGTGTATGTATGATGAAATGACACCTGCGTGGTGAATTTCAAACATGCCACTACCGTTGATGTGGCCCACGTGTGCGTCCTCATGTAATGTGTGTAATGGCCAATAATGGCAATTTGAGACTTTATTTATTAATGCAAAAGTTTATGTCAAACATATTAGAAAACAAACATGCCTAGGAAATATTTTCAAGACACATTCCGCGATAGTACTTTCTGGATGGTTTGGTCCAAAGAACAAAGTGTGAGAAAACGAGAACACTCTGGATGTAACCCCTTTTCGGAGCTGGTTCTGACTTTGAGACAAACATACAAATGCAGCGAGAGGTGATGAAACATCGAGCGCGTGGAAGGGAGGCCAGATAGGCGAACGGCAAAACAGCGCACAGCTGCACAACAATGAAGGCACGTGTGAGTAAATTCCTTCCAGAGATAGCGACAGTCCTCAAATAAGTTGCCTCTGGCAACTTACCACAAGGTAGAAGTGATACGCTCTGAGGCGGCTGCTCACCTACAGATTGCCCACGTGACAATGGGTTCTACCCACGCGGTAAACGCGGAATGTGCCTAAAGTCCTGACATTGGCACTGCAAACGAAGTCAATACGAAGTACGAACGAACAAAGAGTAGAGCATCTACATGAAAGAGTTTTGATTTCAAAAGGCACTGAGAAGCTCATTTGGCACACACAACCCTTCATTTGGATCGCAAGTCGCGAAGACACATAACGAGCACGGATCTCCACTGATGTAATACCCTACTCCAGGTGGACCCCTGAAAAGCGAACGATTACAGAAACTAATTTTGGCTTGGGAAAAATAAACAGCAGCGAAGCATAATCGAGCTTACAAAGCACGGAGAGGTGGCGAAACACTGAGCGCGCGGAAGAGAGACCAGACAAGTAGGGGACAGACCACACACAGGTGCATAAATTGAAGAAAGGCGGCGTTGGAGCGTAAAAGCTCAAGCAACCCCCATTAATCAGTTCTTTTTTGAATACGACAGGCAGTCTACCTCTGCTCAGAATGGTAACGACCTTCCATGCGAGGTAACCACTGCTGCAGTGGATCGCGCAGGCCAGTCGAAGTGAAGCAAGGTTTTGACCCCCAAAATGAGGGTAGTAACAATTGAGTGTCTCGGAAGAATCAAAGTTTGCTTGCCGTGTGGAGTTCTAGGCGTGCAACATGTTTTGTGGTGACAACACTCATCAGTCCATATCTAAAAACAGCAAGGGATGTGGTTGCGAGAGCCGCGTCAGTTTGGACGAAAGAGAGGCAGAGGCGTCTATATAAAAGAAGAGAGCATGGAATACTAGCCACGCCTTGCTACCCTCCGCTATGCACGAACTATAAGATACGAATCACGTGATATTGATTGATATGTCAAAAATATGCCATGCACCCACATTCAACTCAATTGCGAAGTCTTAGGGGAACTTGAATGTGTTTTTGGGGAATGCTGTGGCTCGGAAAGGAAAGGGGGCAAGGGTAGCCAGTGAGGCCGATGATTCCGTACTTGATTCGTTGTCTGTTCTCACACCGACTGGAGATGTAGAAGTTTCTCGACGTTTAAGTAGTTACTGGTGATTACTGTTGGTATTACAAGATCAGAGAGCGAAGATTTGATTCGCGTCCGTGAAAGCTCAATGTGAACCTTGGGTTCCGTTTATTTAATGTCTGATCGCGAAACTAAGACGGGCATAAACCTACAGCGCAGCCTAGGGATTACAATGAAATGAAAAGCTTGTGATCAGCGGTATGTGAGAGAAAACTACTGGGAAATGATGCCAAAAGGCATTATCGTCGGCAAACATCGCCCCGTTGTCGTCGACCGATCACGTTGTACCTGGGCAAACGCACAATGGACGGTATCATAGACGAGCCTATAAATAACTCAGTGGATCGAGGAACGGTGGTATGGGTTGAGAGGTCAACGCAAGTGGAAGAAAAAAGGTGGTGGAGAAGAGAGCGCCTATCAGCATTTGTTTCACCCTTAGTAGACTAGGTAGGCGCAGTTCGGCGACGGGGTGGGGACCATTTTGCACTATTATTGCTTCCCGGTTCCGGTTTACAAGTCTCACTCTGGCGAAACCTGTGAACTCTTGTGAAGCTGGAGCAAGGTCGTCAAGCCATCATGTAAAACCTGTCAACTCGAGGCTGTCTAGATAGGTCGACACGTCGATGGGAAGTAGCAAAAGTGCAAAATGCCCCCCCCCGTCGCCGAACTGCGCCAACTGGGTGAAAGCGTTTCCGAAATTCTTAAAACAACATACATTTATTGTGGCTTGAGGTCTGAAGTCTAAGGCACGAGCACAGTGAGACTACCCGTGGTCCTTCTTTGCGATTACTTGCCATTTCTCGAGTCCGATAGCACATTATCCTGGAAACGAAAAATGCACGGCAATGAAACAGTTGACTGTAGAAATGAAAAGAATAAAAAAAAAAAAGTAGGAAATTCGGGTTGACCTACAAGTATTGGCTCTTTTTTCACGTAGAATTCGGTCTGAAAAATGGAATATTTGGCTATACGACAAGAGAATCGTAAGTTGCCGCGCTGGCCGGCTCGGCGAGCGACGCAGCGTCGCGAGAGATGAGTTCTCCCACCCAGCCATTCGAATTTAAATGTTAAAGGGCGAGGAAGGGTGTTACTCAAGCGCGCTATCCGCAAGCGGTTCTAACCGTGGTTCTTCATGTTTTATGTTTCTAGCTTAATTTGGTAACCGTCGCATAACTCGTTTTCAATTTATTCGAGTGAAAATTGAAGATAGTAAGAAAATATGCAACGATTCCTGCGAGCTTCACTCCAATCCTGAAACTGACGCAGAGTTCAAATTTTCAGCGTTCATTGCCGGGTGGCCCATATTAAAAATTTCCCGCGCTCATTGCTAGATGGCGCGCTGCTGCTGCATGGCAACTTACGATTCTCTTGCCCGTCTCCCGTAATATTTGGGGTGGGCATTTTGACATTGCTTCCGGTTGCTTCACCATTTCCGGTTTACAAATCTCACTATGGTGAAACCTGTCAACTTTTGTAAGATTATTAAGCTCATAAAATGAATTTCGTCACGAATTCACAAGAAGTTGACAGGTCCTACAGAAGATTATGAGCAGATCGGCTCTCCACAAACTTTGGCTCATATCTTGAGGACTTGACAAGATTTCACAGATCTGCTTTGATGACTCGACATCAGGGTACGACCATCGTTGTGATCATCACAACGGGGGGGGGTCGTATTTGAGCTCGAGCGAGGGGGAAGGTCGTAACGTGGGGACATCTGATGTGAAGGTGCAGTGATACCTAGATGTCATTCAGCTTCTGATGATGAAAGACCTACCCATGTTATGAACCCTAGAAGAGACCCACACAAGACAGAAGCAACATGCCAGCGCAGAAGTGGGAACGGGCGATGACAGGAAATACGATGGTCGCCCACAACGACGTCATGAATTAATAAAAAAAAGATAAGGATAAAGTTTCCGCCGTTGATCAACCTCTTCGTGGGCACGCACTCTAATCCTATTATTTGGATCGTAGTGGCGTATTGAATGCGATGTGGCCTATTACGATGACTTGCGGTGGAGAGCCGTGTACAAGTCAGTGTTTCATCCTCCCAGACGAATGTGGTACCATTTCACTGTCCACGAGGAGGGTAGAGCAGTTGGCGTGAGCGTAGAGTCGAACCCGGGCATTTGAAACCCGGCATCGCCGGTGGTAAGCGCGCCACTTGTCACTACACCACCTCCGCGCA